GGCTAAACAAGTCAATTCTTCAACAAATTTGCAATGATAAAATTCCGACGAGGAGTGGTATTCCAGCAATTAACTTAGGCATATGGGCATGATATAGTTATTAATAAAGGTTTGAAGGAAAGTAGGCCTAACTGTGACCAGACTAGGGGGGGAAAATTATTTGGGCCTAGGGGCGCCAAATGCTAGACCCGGCCCTGGTCATGGATCCTGCAGCATGGCCTGTTTTTCTAGTGGGGCCTTGGCTATTCCCGTCATATGCTGACGTCACCCAGATTGCAAAAAACCATTTCACCAAAAAAAAGTAAAAACCAAAACATACAGCAGCCAAAGAAGTATTATTGAACCTGTTCTGAAAATATCAAATAAATTTGACGCTCTTCACAGAGTTCGCCCAACGGGTGAGAACATGGATACAAATACAACGAAGCCGACCTTCACAGAACCCCTCCCCAAATGCACAAAAGATACCTGAGGCATAATACCAATAAGAAAAATAAAAACTCCTCAAGAAATTACTATCCAAATATAAAAGTAACACTTTGCTCGGATAGTCAAGGCAGAAACATAGCGCCTAAAGTAGAAAGCTACAGCACTAAGAAAATAAATACCTTTGGTTACGTTAGGGCTAACACCACTCTTCTCCAAGTTTTGAACTCCTCATTCATCGATAGCCCTTTGATCGTCTTAGGAGGCACTAACGACAGTCTTGAATGTGACCTGTCTAGCATTTATAGTGACCTCGAGAGCAAACTGCTTGAAATTTGCAAAGTCAGACCAGTGTTTCTGTGCAGTGTACTAGCAAGATATGAAAAATCTCTAAACCACCCGGTCAACCTGGATCTGTGTATATTAAACAACTACTTAAGACAGTTAAGCAATAGGATTGACCACCTCTTTTTAATAGATTTGGATGGACTGCAGAGATTGATTTTACAGCACACGGCCTGCACCTTAATAACAGAGGGAAGTCAAAGCTTGCGTTGTTAATTGTTAATGCTATAACTGACTGGTGCAAAAAGACTCAAGAGGCTACTTCAGCAAACAAAATTGAACTTGTTGAGAAAATAACAAACTCTGAGGACCCTGCTGTAAAAATACTGGAAGCTGATATGAAACAAATTATCAAACAAAACTTGAATAAGAAAAATACAGCCTTTGCACATTGCATATCAGCAGATTTCACACACAAAAGAAATATGAGTGCAGGGGTAGCAGTTTAGCCTTTAAAGAGGAGCAACAGCTAAAGATTATTGCGAACCTAACTTGACTTTACAAACAATTGACAATGGGGCTCATGTATTTAGCCGTCATGTAGTGCTCATGTAGTGACCGTCCCCACCACCCAGAGGCGGCAGCGAGATGACAGCGAAGTTTCGACCTTTTCCACCAGCCGCAGCGCCACAGCACCACAGTGTGATAGTGAAAGTGTCAGTGAAAAGGGCAATAATTTGTTACCTGTATGTGAAGTCTCCCTAATGCGGTCACCTGAGACATCATCATCATCAAAATTAAAACCTGATTCTTTGTCTGACTCAACAAATGAAAAAAACTTGCTTTTTGTGCCACAAAAAATAACTTAATGTTAAACAATGTCTGTAAATTTACTAATGTAATTCAGAGCTCTGTTAATTCAACAGTAAATTATAGGTCAGGATATGGATCTCCTAGTTCCAGCGTATCAATATTTTTAGAAAAATTGTGTTTTTGTTTAAGAGTATTAGACAAGAGATTCAAATTTGTATTAGTTGTAGGTGACATTAACATAAATGTTTTGGATGACTCAAACCGACAAAAACTCAATGATGTTTTGCAATTGTACAATATGAGATTTTTAGTTAATTTTCCTACCCGAATAACTACAGATTCCGCATTAGATAATGTTTTGACTAATTTTGATGAGCATCCAATTAGAGTCGAGGGAATTGACACACAATTATCGGACCATGGGCTAATGGTATCTGTAGATCCTTTTGTTGGAGAATACTTAAATAAAACTAAAATTAAGCAAGAAAATAAATATGTGGCAAGAGAAACTAGAGTTTTTAATGAAAGCAATTTGTCTTGATTTGGTAAGATATTAGAAAAACAGAATTGGTTTAGTGTCTATAATGCTAGTGTTGATGTAAAATTTGATACTTTTCATGACATTTTTATGTAGGCCTACAATTTAATTGAGTTTTTCCTAAAGTTAAAAAAATGTTCAAGGAATTGTAAGGCCGGACGCACACAGATCAAGCATTTCACCTGAAGCAAGTGTTGCGAGGCAAAATGTTTCGCTGGGTACGAGCTCCCCATGTATTTCAATGGGACGCCGCACACTGATCAAGCAAACGTTGCGAGGCGCCTCGCAACGCCTTGAAACATTTGAGCAGTTGCTCGACGAATGGATCCCATACAGCACGATGTTTGATGTTTCAAGGAGCAAAACGTTCTGCGCATGCGCCAAATCCCTTCTAGTTAGTAAAGCTTAGTGGCTTTCAAAATTCAATTGACCGTTTGTTGTTTAAAAAACAACTCTTCTTTGAAAAATGAATTTTGAAGCTGCGTTAAAACTTAACAATTATATTTTGAATTTATATTTAACAATATTGTTGCTACCATATCTTGCTACCATTTTTGGAGTCATACAGCCCATGCAAAGTAGTAAAATAATTAATAAATTACCAAGGTTACTCAGTTCATTAATCATTATTTATATGACCATCACGACACTATCTAATAATAATTTCTTACGGTATTTAAAACCCTTTCTATAAAATGGTATAGCAATTATTCGACAATAATAATTAATTGTAAAATTTCCCTGGTTCTGATTTAATTTCTGAGAGGAAAGCTGTCTATCAACAGATTGATTGGGTGAACCCAATGTCGTCTTTCTATTTAGTCCAGGATTTTGCAAAAAACTGACATACAGCTATAATTGACTTCCTCGTCACATTAAAACAATACTGTAGTATAAGACCAGTAAACATAATATGTAATTCTAATATTTATTTTTGTTAATTTTTCTTGAAACCAAATGCTGAATCATGCTTGAACCTCCCGCACACTGGTGAAGCAAATAAACAAAACGCTTCAAGCAAATCGTTGTGCAACATTTTGCTTCAGGTGATATGCTGGATCAGTGTGCGCCCAGCCTAAGAATAGTTGAATAACACCTGATTTAAAACAAGATAGACTAAAAATTTTAGAGTTAAGTACAGCAGCCAGAGTTGTTAAGGATCAAGAAATGTTTAACAGAATTAAAACTAAAAAAAAAAAATTACAAACAGAATTTAATTATAAAAAAGATTTTTATAAAAATAAAACAGAAGAATCTAAAAACGTTAGTAAAACAACCAAATGGTGCATTTGGTTAACTTAACTTATTTTTGTTAAGTTAATCTCACTCTACACAAAAGATTGCATAATCTTCCTCTTGCCATATTTTAATTTCTTGAGTTTTATTTGTAATACCTTGTAAGTTACCAAATAAAATGTTAGCATGAAAAAATGTTAACATGTCATAGGAATGTTCTAGGGATGGACGGGTCCCGAAATTTCGGGAATTTTTCGGGAAAAAAATATTCCCGATTATCGGGACGGGATTACATTTGACTCGGGAATTTTTCGGGACGGGATTTGGTCCGATCGTCGGCGATTTTTCCGCTTCGCGAGTGCCGATAACGCCGTTATTGCAAGTGACAGGTCCGCGAACAAAGGACACGAAGTCATGTCGACGATTAAGCCGTGACCGCGGAGTCCTACCGACGTCCGCGCCGTGACCGCGGAGTCCTACCGACGATCGCGCCGTGACCGCGGAGTCCTACCGACGATCGCGCCGTGACCACGGAGTCCTACCGACGTCCGCGCCCGTGACCGCGAGTCATACCGACGATCGCGCCGTGACCGCGGAGTCCTACCGACGATCGCACCGTGACCGCGGAGTCCTACCGACGATCGCGCCGTGACCGCGGAGTCATGCTGACGATCGAGCCGTGATCGCGAGTCATACCGACGATCGCGCCGTGACCGCGGAGTCATACCGACGATCGCGCCGTGACCGCGAGTCATACCGACGATCGCGTCGTGACCGCGAGTGATGACGACAATCGCGCCGTGACCGTGGAGTCATACCGACGATAACCCCGTGACCGCGGAGTCATACCGACGATCGCGCCGTGACCGCGAGTCATACCGACGATCGTGCCGTGACCGCGAGTCATGACGACGATCGTGCCGTGACCGTGCAGTCATACCGACGATAACCCCGTGACCGCGAAGTCATACCGACGATCGTGCCGTGACCGCGAGTCATGACGACGATCGCGCCGTGACCGCGAGTCATGACGACGATCTCGCCGTGACCGCGAGTCATGACGACGATCGCGCCCTGACCGCGAGTCATGCTGACAATCGCGCCGTGACCGCGAGTCATACCGACGATCGCGTCGTGACCGCGTGTCATGACGACGATCGCGCTGTGACCGTGGAGTCATACCGACGATAACCCCGTGACCGCGGAGTAATACCAACGATCGCGCCGTGACCGCGAGTCATGACGACGATCGCGCCGTGACCGTGAGTCATACAGACGATCACCCCGTGACCCGCGAGTCACAAGTTTCTATAGGTTACCCATTTTTTGGTTTTTATAGATCAGTGCCACAAATGGTAAAAATTGATTTCGTATGTCTCTTTTGGTAACTGCAATACAGTACTTTCTTTTTATGCACAGAAAAAAAACCCGTCCCGTCCCGAACTAAAAATTCAATCCCGTCCATCCCTAGAATGTTCTTTTCTTTTGTACTGTATTTAGTAATTTGCTACTGTACTGTAGATGATTTGTTACAAGCATAGTGTTACAATTAATTTATTTATTTATATTTTTGTAAAACTGCCATAGCTACTTGACAGCTCTTAAGTCTTCATTACTTAATTGCAACCAACATCATCCTGTTTGTACACATTATGAGTACATGATGTTTTCTAAATAATTCAACGGTTCTTATTTGTTGCAGGAGTATTCTTCCGCTCGGTGCTGAAACTTAACAATTTCCTCTACCCCATGGAAAACGTTCCAATCACACTTTGTGCCATTTTTGCGGTAAGTGACAAGGGTCATTCTGAAGAGACAATAGAGATTTTATATTATTCAAACCAACAAGAGATCCATCATGTTTGTGTTGGGATTCCTTTCCTACCAGGATTTTTAGAATTATAAATGTGTCGGTTGCAATTTTTATTAATTTGGATTTTGTCTTTCGGTTCTCGGTTTTCAGTTATTTTCGATTATGAATAGATAAAACTACCATCCATTTATATTTTAGCCTAAACCTCTCTAATGATTATGTTCTTTGTGTAAGGTTTGCTGTTGTTGATGATAGATTCCGGTTTTTACAGGTTTAATCCTGGTAAAACTTTAGTTTGACTAATAACTGATGGGAAATATATACAAATAATCCCTAGAAAACTCTAAACTTATTTGTTATATACAGTCTAACCCCGGTATAACGAATCTGAAGGGACCGAATTGAATATTCGTTATATCAAGGATTTCATTAAGACAAAGTTTGTCATATTGGCTTACAGGAATTTTGTTCAGAAACAGATCGGTCAATATAAGTCCAGATTAAACCTCATTAAAACACTATTAACTGGCATAGGCAACAATACTTTATACTTAAACCTATATAAATGTAATACTGTGTAAAAAAGAATTTCCATTGTAAAAATAATACAAAGATACAACCATGTTATTCTTTCTCTATGTTCTTCTACTCTTTCTTATGTTTCTCTTTATCCACAAATTTAACATGTCACCATAGTTACTTATTGCCCAATCACATCCTGCTAAAGTGTCTATGATTACCCAATCACAGTTTACTAAGCATTCCGTTGTCATCAGTCCCCAGCTAATGAAATCAGTTGTGACATAGCGCACAGTAGACTGATGTGTAATACGGAGCAGATGATTGTCAGCGCAAGCGTTGACATCATCTTTCCATTTCATTTTCATCAAAGGAACTGTGATAAAAAAAAAAAAACAATAACGTGGGGGGTTTGTTATATTGAGGGAAAAGCAAAGACAATTCGTTAAGTAGAGGTTAAATTCAATTTATAGAGATTCTCATAATGATAAATTTATTATATTGAGGTAACTTATGTTAGCCAGAATCGTAAAAATTCGTTAAATCAAGGTTGTTGATTTGGTTTGTTTCTTATGTAGGGGTGAATACTGAATCAACATTGTGTATTTTGAAGAGTTCTAGGGGGATAAAAAAACCTTTATACAGGGTGAATAAAAAGTCAAGACCCCCTCTCTAAAATTTTTCTTAGTAAATGTACAGAGATATCCTTTTGGTGGTCATGCAATCTTAGCAGGTAGTTTCATTTTATGATTTTGAAATTTTTTAGTGTCCCCCCAAAAGGGGGGATTCCGGGGGCAACTCAAATATTTTAAATGTAAACCCCCTTCATTTTGAAGTGTTTAAAGAATGGTGAAAACTAGAGCTTGCTATCTCTTCTCTATCCAAAATGGTAGCCCGTCAAATGTTGTTGAAAATCAATGGTAATATTGGTTCGTAATGGTAATATTGGCTACCATTTTGGAAAGAGAAGAGATAGCGAACTCTGGTTTTCACCATTCTTTAAGTTTATGTAAACACTTCAAAATGAGGTGTCACTTGAAGGGGGCTTAAATTAAAGTTTTTTGAGTTGCCCCCAATATCCCCCTTTTTGGGGGACACTCAAATTTTTCAAAATCATAAAATGAAACTTCCTGCCAAGGCTGCATGACCATCCAAAGGATACCTCTGTAATATTTACTTAGGAGCAAATAAGAGGAAGGGAAATTACTTTTTATTACACAAGAAAATCAGTAACACCATGAAACTTTTGACGGGCTACCATTTTGGATAGAGAAGATATAGCGAACTCTGGTTTTCACCATTCTTAATCTTATGTTAACACTTCAAAATGAGGTGTCACTTGAAGGGGGTTTATATTTAAAATATTTGAGTTGCCCCCAAATCCCCCCTTTGGGGGGGGGGGCACTCAAAAATTTCAAGATCATATAATGCAACTTCCTGCTAAGATTGCACGACCACCAAAAGGATATCTCTGTATATTTACTAAAAAAAATATTAGAGGGGGGGGGGGTCTTGACTTTTTATTCATCCTGTATATAAAGGGTTTCTTTATATTGAGGTTTGTTATATCAATTTCACTGACTGTATTCCTAAACACTCAAACCATGACTATTTAATGTTATAACATATATGATATGTTAACACATATCTTGTATGGTTTGCCAATAGAAACAGTATGTTTTGGTATTCACAACTTTTGTGCAGTGTGTACGCAGGTCTATTTATCATAATGTCATCGTCTCTAAGATGGTAGAAAAATCTTGAAGATCTCCTGTGACCGCGAAGACAAAAATTGTCATATCCCGCAACCGCTGCAAAAGAAAATATATCTATTACACGATAGCGAAGAGATCATGTAGCATTGTACCTAGGCATGGATCCAGTTCTTCTACTGTGTCATTTGGCTATGGACTCTGTGTTATGCTATTGACATGTTCCTGGCACTGTGAGAAGAACCTGGATACCTAAAATTGTATCACATGTTGCATTGTACCTAGGCATGGATCCAGTACTTCTACTGTGTCACTTGGCTGTGGACTCTGTGTTATGCCACTGACATGTTCCTGGCACTGAGAGAAGAGCCTGGATACCCGACGTTGTATCACATGTTGCATTGTACCTAGGCATGGATCCAGTACTTCTACTGTGTCATTTGGCTATGGACTCTGTGTTATGCTATTGACATGTTCCTGGCACTGTGAGAAGAACCTGGATACCTGATATTGTATCACATGTTGCATTGTACCTAGGCATGGATCCAGTACTTCTACTGTGTCATTTGGCTATGGACTCTGTGTTATGCTATTGACATGTTCCTGGCACTGTGAGAAGAACCTGGATACCTGATATTGTATCACATGTTGCATTGTACCTAGGCATGGATCCAGTACTTCTACTGTGTCATTTGGCTATGGACTCTGTGTTATGCTATTGACATGTTCCTGGCACTGTGAGAAGAACCTGGATACCTGATATTGTATCACATGTTGCATTGTACCTAGGCATGGATCCAGTACTTCTACTGTGTCACTTGGCTGTGGACTCTGTGTTATGCCATTGACATGTTCCTGGCACTGAGAGAAGAACCTGGACACCTGACATTGTATCACATGTTGCATTGTACCTAGGCATAGATCCAGTACTTCTACTGTGTCACTTGGCTGTGGACTCTGTGTTATGCCATTGACATGTTCCTGGCACTGAGAGAAGAACCTGGACACTTGACATTGTATCACATGTTGCATTGTACCTAGGCATAGATCCAGTACTTCTACTGTGTCACTTGGCTGTGGACTCTCTGTTATGCCATTGACATGTTCCTGGCACTGAGAGAACCTGGACACCTGACATTGTATCACATGTTGCATTGTACCTAGGCATGGATCCAGTACTTCTACTGTGTCACTTGGTTGTGGACTCTGTGTTATGCCATTGACATGTTCCTGGCACTGAGAGAAGAACCTGGACACCTGACATTGTATCACATGTTGCATTGTACCTAGGCATAGATCCAGTACTTCTACTGTGTCACTTGGCTGTGGACTCTGTGTTATGCCATTGACATGTTCCTGGCACTGAGAGAAGACATTGTATCACATGTTGCATTGTACCTAGGCATGGATCCAGTACTTCTACTGTGTCACTTGGTTGTGGACTCTGTGTTATGCCATTGACATGTTCCTGGAACTGAGAGAAGAACCTGGACACCTGACATTGTATCACATGTTGCATTGTACCTAGGCATAGATCCAGTACTTCTACTGTGTCACTTGGCTGTGGACTCTGTGTTATGCCATTGACATGTTCCTGGCACTGAGAGAAGAACCTGGACACCTGACATTGTATCACATGTTGCATTGTACCTAGGCATGGATCCAGTACTTCTACTGTGTCACTTGGCTGTGGTCTTATGCCATTGACATGTTCCTGGCACTGAGAGAAGAACCTGGACACCTGCCTGACATTGTATCACATGTTGAATTTTACCTAGGCATGGATCCAGTACTTCTACTGTGTCACTTGGTTGTGGACTCTGTATTATGCCATTGACCTGTTCCTGGCACTGAGAGAAGAACCTCGATACCTGATATTGTATCACATGTTGCATTGTACCTAGGCATGGGTCCAGTACTTCTACTGTGTCACTTGGCTGTGGACTCTGTGTTATGCCATTGACATGTTCCTGGCACTGAGAGAAGAACCTGGACACTTGACACTGTATCACATGTTGCATTGTACCTAGGCATGGATCCAGTACTTCTACTGTGTCACTTGGCTGTGGACTCTGTGTTATGCCATTGACCTGTTCCTGGCACTGAGAGAAGAACCTCGATACCTGATATTGTATCACATGTTGCATTGTACCTAGGCATGGGTCCAGTACTTCTACTGTGTCACTTGGCTGTGGACTCTGTGTTATGCCATTGACCTGTTCCTGGCACTGAGAGAAGAACCTCGATACCTGATATTGTATCACATGTTGCATTGTACCTAGGCATGGGTCCAGTACTTCTACTGTGTCACTTGGCTGTGGACTCTGTGTTATGCCATTGACCTGTTCCTGGCACTGAGAGAAGAACCTCGATACCTGATATTGTATCACATGTTGCATTGTACCTAGGCATGGGTCCAGTACTTCTACTGTGTCACTTGGCTGTGGACTCTGTGTTATGCCATTGACATGTTCCTGGCACTGTGAGAAGAACCTGGACACTTGACATTGTATCACATGTTGCATTGTACCTAGGCATGGATCCAGTACTTCTACTGTGTCACTTGGCTTTGGACTCTGTGTTATGCCATTGACATGTTCCTGTCACTGAGAGAAGAACCTGGACACTTGACACTGTATCACATGTTGCATTGTACCTAGGCATGGATCCAGTACTTCTACTGTGTCACTTGGCTGTGGACTCTGTGTTATGCTTTTGACATGTTCCTGTCACTGAGAGAAGAACCTGGACACTTGACACTGTATCACATGTTGCATTGTACCTAGGCATGGATCCAGTACTTCTACTGTGTCACTTGGCTGTGGACTCTGTGTTATGCTTTTGACATGTTCCTGTCACTGAGAGAAGAACCTGGACACTTGACACTGTATCACATGTTGCATTGTACCTAGGCATGGGTCCAGTACTTCTACTGTGTCACTTGGCTGTGGACTCTGTGTTATGCCATTGACCTGTTCCTGGCACTGAGAGAAGAACCTCGATACCTGATATTGTATCACATGTTGCATTGTACCTAGGCATGGGTCCAGTACTTCTACTGTGTCACTTGGCTGTGGACTCTGTGTTATGCCATTGACATGTTCCTGGCACTGTGAGAAGAACCTGGACACTTGACATTGTATCACATGTTGCATTGTACCTAGGCATGGATCCAGTACTTCTACTGTGTCACTTGGCTTTGGACTCTGTGTTATGCCATTGACATGTTCCTGTCACTGAGAGAAGAACCTGGACACTTGACACTGTATCACATGTTGCATTGTACCTAGGCATGGATCCAGTACTTCTACTGTGTCACTTGGCTGTGGACTCTGTGTTATGCCATTGACATGTTCCTGGCACTGAGAGAAGAACCTGGATACCTGACACTGTATCACATGTTGCATTGTACCTAGGCATGGATCCAGTACTTCTACTGTGTCACTTGGCTGTGGACTCTGTGTTATGCTTTTGACATGTTCCTGGCACTGAGAGAAAAGCCTGGATACCCGACGTTGTATCACATGTTATGTTGGCTACTTCCTTCTGTCACCACAGCTGTCGGCTTGGCAATTCTCTACTTACCAAATGCTGAGTAAGTCGTAAGATTTGATTTTAAAGTTACTCTGATTGTATATGTTATATGATATGACCTTAAATTGAGGGAGATATCAGGACAAATTATGAAATAATTAACATGGGCTTTAGATTCATGATTAATTAGTTACAGTATTAAGTATTTATTTACCTTCTGGTTGTATTACAAAAGTTTGGTGAATTAGATCACTAATAGACACAATCAGTCAGAGTTTTAATTGTTATAGGCTACTTTTAGTGTCACCTTTAAGGGTTGCTATTAATTATGTTTAGAATGATAATTTATGTGTTTGCTGAGAAATGTTGCATATTTGTTATGCCTCATGCACTTCTTACTTCAATCCGTTACATTCCACACACAGGCTAATTAGACAATTATTGTTAAATTCTTCTGTTTATATATTTGAGTGTGAAGTTAGTTACTTAATGAAATGTTTACAGTTGCCACAACCTGGGGCCGGGGGAGAGTGCCTTTGTCCGCATTCTACCCAACTATTTGCTCACCTACCTGCCCATGATTACTGTAATGGTGGTCAACCCAGTGCTGTATCTGTGTTCCCTGAGTACAGTAAGTCAACAAATAATTTAGTATATCACCTCTCCCTGTAATACTAAAGGTAACAGTAATCGTAAGAACGTTAAAAAAGGTAGAAGAAGAATCATTAGGTCATGAACTTAAATTATTAGATACTATTTTAACAAACTTTTGCTATTCCTTGTTTTTTTTTTTTTTTTACTGTGATATATCTCTATATATAAATGTGAAATTCTGATCAACGCACAGGCCAAACCATAGCACCTAGAAGCAATAAGGTTATTTCAGACTATATAAACATTATATTTGTTTGTGGCATTTAAGTTTTATCGACTTCATATGTGTGATGAGTGTTGAAGAAAGTAGAATTATTGTACTTACGGTTTTATTGCATTTTAATTTCTTTTTTTACTTATGATATATTTCTGTTAATATTTTTGTAGTTGTTTAAACCATTTCTTAGTATGTTGTTAAATAAGTAGGCCTAAATGTTGCTAGGAGAACATGTAACGTGGTCGTTAGAAAACACTACAAAATAATTTATACCAATAAAAGTCACATAGGACTTGATTTAGTATGTAAATAAGTAACATAACTTACTAGGCCTTTTTAGACCTGAAAATACATTGTTAATTTTACCATTGACTATACTAGGTGTCCCACGAAGGGGTTTAAACGTTTGATTTTATATTACGTGCCCATTCATGCACCAAACTTTTTTAAACTTTACACAGTTTACAAAGTAGGTTCTAAAAATATTCTGGAAAAATTTCAACTCCCTAACCTTAGAAATTAAAACTAAATTAAAATTAAAACCGTAGAAACAAAATGGCGGCATATTGACAAATTTACCAATATGCTTTTTATAAAAACTACTTTCATGATTTATTATTAGTTATTTATTTATTATTATTTATTAGTTATTTGATTTATTTTTAGTTTTCCATTAGGCTATGTTCTAGTTTTTTTATTTAAAAGTCATATTGCCCTGGAAAGTAACAATAAATATATTTTATAAAACCAAAAATACCTTTTTTAACGTTTTTAAAGTAACGTTTTTCAATATGCCGCCATTTTATTTCTACTAAGGTTAGGGAGTTGAAATTTTTCCAGAATATTTTTAGAACCTACTTTGTAAACTGTGTAAAGTTTCAAAAAGTTCGGTGCATGAATGGGCGCGTAATATAAAATCAAACGTTTAAACCCCTTCGTGGGACACCCTATATATACCTATAGCCAATGATTTTACTAACTTAAATCATAGTGGCTTTGGTTTAAGTTATAGATAAGTTTTTAAGTTGAATTAGGCCTATATAAGCCATAAAATAAGAAAGAACTTAGCATTAATATTTGTGTCCACTTAGAGGAAAATGAATAACCAATTAAGTTAAACTTAGGCCTATATGCTTTGTGGTTTAATTATAAGTATTGGATGTCAGGAGTCGCTTAAAAAAAATACAAATAACAAATACCGGGTGAGACATTATAATAGATGCTTTAATATGACATCGTTTAGAGCAAAACAGGTTGTAGCTGAATTTTTGATTGAAGGTTGTTGGCACTTAAACACTAAGTTATAAAAAATGTCAACCAATATGATAGTTTCCGTAGCGAAGCTCGGGTATTCCGCTAGTTTAGTTATAATTATAATAGCAATGGTAAATAAATAAGTATGATATAGTTAAGTGTGTGTGGCTGCATTCCCAAAGACAGTAAATTTTTTGCCGTGTTAGCCTAACTGTTTGACAGTTGTTATGTTAGCAATTAAAACAGGGCATCCAAGCAGCAGGCAAAAGATGTTAAATTTATCAAAACTGCTAAAAGAAGATCACGGCTAACCACCCCATTGAGGCTACCTTTTCACAGTCTTTAAGATAAAAAGGTTAACTGTGGAAATTGTTTGAATTCTTTAGTTTGGTCACTTCTTCCAGAAAGTGGTTAAAATATAGCATATAAAGATATCTTTAATCCTACTAATATTATAAATAAGAAAGTTTGGACGTATGTATGTTTGTGACAAGTAAACGCGAAAAATACTGGTCATATTGGGCTGAAATTTGGTGTGATGATAGCTCACATTCTGTACCGATTTGTCGTATTTTACAACAAATTAAATATGCAACAAATTAAATAAATAATGAGTAGACGCGATCATATAGTCAGCTGATCGAACAATGGGCAACGTACCCACAATGCAAACGACGACGAGTGGAAGGGGAAACCAACGGCCCAGCTACGGAGACACTCGCAGTCACTTCCCGTCATTTTAACTGGTTAGGTGAGCTAAACTTCGTTCCGTGCAAATTAAATCCATTCGTGGTGTTAGTCGTATATTTATTATTTTCATCAATCGTTAAGCCTATATCCCGCAGGGGTATAATTGCAACGCGATGTTAATAAAATCAGTTTGAGAACAACGTGTTGTATAGTAACTTTACCGGCTAACACAGACCGCCATTGGAAATTTCACGTTCGAAACCAAATCAAATTCAATCGCGTTTTGGAATAGCTCGCCTAATTAAGTTTCCTATCCTATCCCTCAGTGTATTCAGTGTAGGACGTCCGAAATTTGTAAGTAATTTATGTTATTTATTGTTATAATCGTAGGTTTTCAGTGAGTCGCACATGTATTAATATTTTCCTGTTATATTTTGTTGAATCTTGTTATATAAGCACATGTTTCCAGGATCAAGCTACAACTGGTAATTTAATTTTTATATCCATTTTTAGCGTAACAATCTGTAATATTTAGTAAACTGTGATAATCTTATGGTATTAAAGATAAATAGTTGAAAATGTTTTTGTAGGGTAATTTAGAGTTACTGAGTTACTTATAAAAATTTTACAGTAGTAGAATTTATTGCAGAATTGTTATTGAATTTCATTTCTGAGTTGTAGGAAAAAATCAATTAAGAGTGCAACAGCCATTATTTTATTTGGGGAAAAGTGAAATATTATTGAAAGTAGAGGTGGGCAGCTGGTTCGGCTAGACGGAGGTGTTAATTGGGATAGTGTGTGTTTTGTGATAGACGAACCGCCAAAGTACCTTTTAGTTATAAAATAATAAGCAATCTTCTATCATATATTACTACGCTTAAACAGTAATACTGTTTAACCAGTTGGACTACGAGACTCGACCTTCACCTTTTTAAGTCGTTGGCCAACGAAGGATTTGCTGGTACTGGTCATCTCAAAAATTAAAGTAAATATCACACTTCATTTGGCATATTCGGAGTCAGTGTGTAACCGCGCCATATACTTCCCTTTCAATGGGTTCATTCACCATTTTTTGAGTAAAGCTTATTACTGATTGTTGCACTCGAAACCTGTGTTCAGCCGTTATATTGCATTGTCGTTAAAGTACAGGAATTCATTAACTAGACATTGTGAAATAATATTAAAATGTGAAACGTTTACATTGATCAATCTATAAATTGAATTGTTATATATTTTCATAGTTCTCAATATCCTGGTATTTCTTTTTAGCATTAATAGTCATTCAATAGAAGTTTGGTAAAATACAGTAAATAAAAGGCCACTACAAAAGATTCACATTTGAAGTGCAACACTAGATTTAGTGTGATAGTGAGCAGAGTAAATTCAGTGTACCTTAAGATTTATTAAGATTTATTTCAGTCTGGAAGAACTTCAAACAGTATCAGGGACGTCCCATAAGGATCTCTGGGAATAATTTATTCTACAGGGCCCACTTAAATATTATTTTAACATCAAGCTTCCACTGCCAAACGCTCTGTTGTTTATTTTATTCACAGTTCTTCCAACCCAGGGGCAACCAATATTTGTAAAGAATTAATTGTGGTAGAGTCATAGAGAGAATTACAGGAAGAGTAGAATATATATTTAAATTTAAATATATAAGTCAGAGTCAAGTAGTCTTTTAATTTTTTTTAATTTTTCTTTACAATTCCCGATTAACATATAGATGCATTCTTACCTCAAGAATCCTTTCGGGCAATTCCTTCAGGGTGCAGTACTATTATTTTTAATGATTTTTTAGTATAATTTCTAACAATAATAGGTCCTAAATAAGATAAACATTTTTTCAAAATATCAATGCTGTATCTCAAACCGTTAAGGAGTTATTAGTTTTATTACATCTTTAATTTTCTTTACATCGGTTACATCTTTTAAAACCTATTAACCTAAATCGAACGGGCGGTCGGTATTTTTTATTTGGACGTCAAATATTCATTATTGGTTATTTATGGTTGTTGTAAGTACACTTGTTAATTTTAATTTCTTTGATCGATAGTAAACTCTGTTCATACAATTTTTAATAACATATTAAATACTTAACATAAATTTAACATCTATACCAAAACCCCGTCTGACAGGCCCACGGGAATTTTCACAAACGCATTTTGGCAACACTGTTTACTTGGGGGATTCCATTCCCCTAATACCTTCCCACCTTTTCCTCCCCTACCTGTTGTTATATTGTTTGTTTATTTTGCATGGGTGCCGTGACCTTGACAGGTTGTATGTTCATAACATGCCCGTCTCAGAAGCCCAGCGTTAGTGTATTTTAAAGTGAGGTCTCACAGGCCCAGGGTTTCGGTTTAAGTGTGTTTCTAAGCGTGGTCCATTATTTTCAAATGGGGCTTTACAGACCGGGGGTTTCGGTTAGCGTCAGCTTGGGTAGAATTTCGGTACTAGTGTTAATCCACAGTCGAGCATCGATTGGGAATCGTATTGTGTAAATCGTCGTGTCGTCTGTCTAGTGTATAAATTATAGTTCCGCCATTGCTTGCTACACGAACGCAGACAAATACTTATTGCAGTCAAGGTTAATTCGATGATACCGGCAATGGTGGCAGTAGTTGCTCGAACGCTCGCACTGAACTAGAACTACAACCCACAACCGAAGGTAGCACTGAATGAGAGAATTGAGTGAGAGACGTTGGATGCCATAAATACTAGGGGAATAGTACTTTGGAACAAGGGATTGTGGGATTGCAAATAAGCCAACAGCCATTGAGCTGGTTGATTCTTTTAGTCAAAATAAAATCAAATCAATTTATTTATCACAAAAAAACACAGTACAGAGGTTGAATATCAGCAATGAATATGTGACATTTCAGTACAAATCATGCATTATAAATAGTTTACACATAATAAATATATACAAATATTAAGATTACAGTTGACAGGATAAAAATGAATTCATATCATAAGGACAAAGTGCAATAAGTTTTTCTGAAATTTTCTTTTTAAAATTATTAAAGCTCAAAGACTGGTCTGTGAAATAAAAGGACAATTTGTTTTAGACTTGTATGCATTGATAATAGGGCCCATTGTGAAACAAGATCGGTTTGCTGATTCCATTTACTTATCAGACTTGGATACGATAAATAACTGAGAGCGCACGACAATTTTGTGCCGGCATTAACTACGCCGGTTGTCTGATTCAGAATTTAAATGAACAACAAAACATTGGCCATGGCAACTTCCTTATGGGTTTTGAATAGAATCGGTATCGAGAGTTGTGAGTAATATTTCATTTCAGAACTGGTATCGAATTGAGAAATTCTGTTATTGGCCTGTCCCTATTTAAAATACAATTAATATTCAACTAGGATGTAATTCAAGCCATGGCCTTGATTTTTCTGACAGAGTGTGGCTTTGTTCCAGCTATGCGTGGATAGACACTGCTGCTACACGTTATTATAGAGCAATAGAGCTTGCGGCGAATGGGTGTATTCTGTCAGCGGACCCGAGATTCAAGATTCGGATTCGACACATCCCTAACATCGTCAACTCCCTGATAATGTGTTTATTGATCCCCAGGTTACTTCTCTGATCACGTCCAGTCTTGCACAGTTCACTCGTAAGGAGCGTACGATCATTGATGGTGTGAAGGTCAAGTTCGGACTCATCTTGCTGGTGTTCTACGTTTGCTGGCTGCCCAACCTGGTCAACAGTTTTCTGCTGTGGTCAGAGTGGTACAACCTACCAGTGCAGGTTGTGTCTATCCTCCTCTACTGCATGGTAAGATCAGTCTAAACCCCGCAATGTTTTGTGGATATGTCAAGGATTGAATCCATTGTTCTCTTACCAATGTAGGACAATAACTACCAGTATCCGTATAATAGCAGCAATTCACCCGACTCAAACCTCATAATCCTAATTAATGTCACAAAACATATATCCAAGTATGACCATATAATGTCATAAATAAACCACAAATTGTATTTATACTTTGAATGGGGGCCCTGTTTATTTTCAATTCTTGGACGGTATAATTTACTTTATTATTTAATCTATCTATCTATATATTAATTTGAAACTGGTTTTCTTTGTGACAGCTAATTTGAGAGAATGGCTGGGCGTAGAAAATCGGTAGAGGTGTCTAAAGAAAGGTCTTGGTCTGTAGATGAGCCATCAAAAGAGAAACATGGTGATTTCCCTTGGGGCTCTGCCCCAGTGGCCTTTAAATTCCCATCCCATGTTATTCTTATGGAGGAAAACGGGGTTTTTGTTACAGCTAATTTGAGAGAACGGCTGGGCGTAGAAACTTGGTAGGGGTCTCTAAAGAAAGGTCTTGGTCTGTAGATGAGCCATGAAAAGATAAACGAGGTAAATTTCCTTGGAGCTCTGCCCCAGAGGCCTTTTAAGGTCCCTCAGCAGATTTGTTTACATTACGACCATTTGCATAATTTTACACTACTTTTTAATGAAACAGCTGTTAATGTTTAAATTGTGATTTACTGAATTTGTCAAAATGAAGTATTTGCAATGGTTTTTTTCAGTTTTTAAAACCGATTTTCTTTTGCATCGTGTCATGTTTTGCAATATAATGTTCTATTACCAAATCAGTGGAAAATCCTGATATCACAGTAGATTTTAAAATTATTTCTTAAGGAGTTAACTTATATCTATTGTATGGGTTGGTTTCTGCCTTTTTACCACTTCTTGGAGATGGTACGTAGGTGATATTCTTTGGCATATTGCATCTGTAGACGAAACTTGGGTTGGTGTAATTATTACAATGGAAAATAGCGAGAAATCCTGGACGATTTGATATAGGCTAGAAATAAAACTGAATTAACGCTGTGCTAAGTTTCTTGAGCAATCATTGAAATAACCGATTTGCAAACAATGGAAACATAGAACACAACCAAGTAGAAGAAATATAAATAATGTTTTTTTACACAAAAAAAAAACACTAAAAAAACAAGATCAGCTTTTTGAAAAAAGATATTTACAAAAGATTTTGATTATATCTAACTGTTGTGTAGATCGTGAGTATTTCCATAATCTTTGAGTTGCCTGTAATGCTTCGCAATTGCTCGAATTCGAGCAACAGGTACACTAGTACATATAAAAGGCAAAGCCCTCACTGACTGACTCACTCACTCATCACTAATTCTCCCACTTCCCATTTACCTAGGAGGCTGAAATTTGGTACACTGATTCTTTAGGCATTAAATAGGAAAACTAAGTTGTTTTTATTCTGATCGGACTCTCAGGCTCCGCCCCAGTGGCTCAGGAGTTTCACATGTTAACCTTATGAGTACTCATATTTAAATGTAATTAATGAATCTTAACAGCTGTTTCAATTAAACAAGTTGGTTCTGTTCTATGATGTGCAATAGCATTAAAGTTACAAGGATTACCAACAGGGTGCAGCACTATTATTTTTTTTAAATTTATGACAACAGCTAATTTGCAACCAAAAGGTGAGTGAGCGTAGCGAACGAACTTCAACCTGGAGGTGAATTAGCGTAGCGAACGAGCTAACCTGAAGGCAAGTGAGCGCAGCGAACGAGCTCCAATGTAAAGGTGAGTGAGCGTAGCGAACGAACTTCAACCAGGACGTGCGAACGAGCTCACTTATGAAGTTAAACGGGGCAAAGCCCGCGGGTACAGCTAATTTATTATAATTTACGTTATTTATTGTTGAGGTTGTTGAGATTAGTATTATCTCTATCATGTTTCTAACAGTCGATGTTTAATATTAATTTATTGTTTATTAACAGATGATTAGTTTGTGTTAAATTTTAATTTTGAATAAACAAATTCATACAGGTTTTTTTGTTAAAATATATATATTTTTTTAGTTTTCTGGTTAGTGATTAATTGTAGATTCTCGGAATATTAAACAGAGGTTTCTTAGAGATCTAAACTGGTTGTCATGTTTCAAAGAATTACATTAAATTGTTATTTTGTAACAAAAATATACCTCTATGGATTGGCTTATACTATTCAATATGTTGTTCTATGTAGAAGGTACTGTAGTACAATATTTATGTTTGGTCTGGTAACAGCCAAAATGTTACTTTTCAACCCAATAATTACTTTTTTTAGATCAGTAGATTACAAATAATTTGCACATCTGTTCCACTCCAGGCTACTCTCAACCCGATGCAAGCTCTGCTCAACAGTGTTGTCTATCGTCGGGCCAGTGACAAGTTGATTTCCCCCTTCCATCGGAGAGCTAAGAAAGAACCGACTGAGACTACGCCACTGGTGCCGTCTGACTTCAACGGCAGCTCCCTGGTATCATGATTGTATCTTGAAACTAGTCGTAAGGTGTGATATGCATTTCAATTAGCACCCTTTAATAATATACAGAGTATCCCTGAACTCACTGATAGCATTATTGTGCAATTACAAATACCTAAAAATAATTATGGGTCAGTTGCTGACTTTGGTTCGGGGGTTTTTAATCAATTGTGGGTCATCAGGTTTTTGGTTGAATTTAAATATAATTTTTCTCTCCTTTTGAAAAATTGTTTACACATGTATAAAATTGTAACTTGTGCTTAATGTGGAGACGATTTTATTTTCAAACAAGATTAACCCTAGCAGTGGCCAATGTTAGAAGTGGGGAATGGCCAACCCATTTTGGCGATTTTGCAGACTTTTTTTAAAAATTCGTAAAAATTCAACCGTACAAGTAAACCAAGCCAACCTCATATTAATTTTGTTCGGAAAGAACAGGAGAATCTAGAAATAGTAATATCATAATGATTTAGACAGTGTATTTTATCGGTAAAGTGAAAAAAATTTTTTTAATTTCAAAAGCGGCCTCAATATTTTTTTTACGGATTTTTTTATGGGAAATTCATTATATACATTTTGTAGACAATCTAATTCCCTACATATAAATATATAACATGTTAAGAAAATTTTTTTTTATAAGTTTTTGGGGCAAAATATAATGACAAACGGAGAACCGAAAAAAATTCAAAACTGTACAGTGTTAGTTTATGTTGTAAAAAGTTATATAATAATATATGTGTATACTAATAATGATATATACATGTTTGTAAAGCTAATGAAGTAAGGAATCAAAAAAAGTCATAAAGTTTGTGGTAAACATATTTTTTTATTTATAAATAAAATAATGTTTTTGTATTTTAGCGATTTTGTAAAAAAAAAAAAACTTTTCTTTGTAAGAAATACATTGGGATTTTGATGGCCTGTGGGGCAAAACCCGTGGACTTTTATTACAGGAATTGGCGAAAGGGGGCGTCTACACAAAAAATATACTTAATTTTCACATATCATTTGTAAAAAATCCGTCCATTATTAACGAAGGAGTAGTGTTTCATAGAAATCTCCTTCATGTACTACAGTATATATAAGGATGCCGCACCTATGTCAAAACATCTATATTGGACGCTTGAGGAAAAAGTTACTCAACAATATTTGTTAAACCATAAACATATGCCTGTAAAACCATTGTTTACTTTTTGAAAAATCATTGTTTACATAAAGTTTGCTACTTTCAGTTGAAGTATGTTTAAGTTGAAGTATGTTTGTAGCTTTGCAGCTTGAATCACATCAAATAACTTTTTATACATTAAAAAAAAAAATCGGCAGGCCAACATTACATAATTTTTTTTTAGTTGGAAGCGGTTTTATACGGCATTTTATATTGTTTAAGGGACTTTTGCAGCCATTTGAATTTGTAAAAAAAAATAATTTGTTCAGTTAAAAAAGTCTGCAAAAATTCCTTAAACAATATTCATTATTCAATTACCATAAAAACAACGAATGTGAACCAATAAGATTATTTTAAATTGCTTGAAAATTGTCTTTTTTGGATAAAGCATTAAATACATATTTAACTTATATAGAGAGTTTGATAAAAACAACTTGACAGCAATGATCACATCATCTGAGATGTAATGTGGCAATTACAGTTACCGTACATTACACATAAATACATGAATAAATAAATTTACTACTTACAAGTAGCTAGCGTACATCAGATACTAAGTTCTGTTTTATATGAAAACTGTTAATTTCATAACGTAAAATAGTATATTATGGTGAAGAAAAGTTATACAAATTTCTAACTAAAGGCAGGATTCAATGCTCTTAAACAGTCTGAAGTAATTACATAATTGATAATAGTTATTGGATTACATTTGAATTTTTCTCTGTCAATAATTTGGATACAAAACCTATACAAAATATGCTGGCAGACTTCAGGAACACTCTGTATATTTAGAAACTCAGGTCTGGAATAAATTTAGTTCAGAAATAAATATTTAAAATGTAATTTTTCACTTCTTCTGATAAAAAAGTCTGTATGTTGAAAAAAGAAGACTAGTTATGCTCATAAATATGTTTTCTTAAATTTGTATATTTCAGTAGAAATTAAATGCAGTATTTTTAAGGAAGAAAATATATTTGCTGTATTTTTGGATTAACCATGGACCTACCTATTGTAATTGATGTGACATACCTATATTCTTTATTCTGCGCTTAGCGATGAGAGTGTGACACCATCCACGAATTAAGTGCAAAACTTGCAGTGCACTCCTGGAATGAAAACGTGCATAATTATAAGCTTAATTTTTAACATTTAATCTAATACGCTTTTTATATTTTATATTTTAGAACATTCTCACTGTGTTATGCATGAAAATAGGATGATAGTTGAAGAAAGCACGTTTTGTATTTTGTTATAGTGTTGTTGTTGGTAGATCCTCTTTTATCCAGTCTTATAAATTGTGTTTGGTCATGGGTAACGAAGGAAGAAAATATATTCGGAAGAAAATATATATATTCCTCCCCTACCTGTTGTTATATTGTTTGTTTATTTTGCATGGGTGCCGTGACCTTGACAGGTTGTATGTTCATAACATGCCCGTCTCAGAAGCCCAGCGTTAGTGTATTTTAAAGTGAGGTCTCACAGGCCCAGGGTTTCGGTTTAAGTGTGTTTCTAAGCGTGGTCCATTATTTTCAAATGGGGCTTTACAGACCGGGGGTTTCGGTTAGCGTCAGCTTGGGTAGAATTTCGGTACTAGTGTTAATCCACAGTCGAGCATCGATTGGGAATCGTATTGTGTAAATCGTCGTGTCGTCTGTCTAGTGTATAAATTATAGTTCCGCCATTGCTTGCTACACGAACGCAGACAAATACTTATTGCAGTCAAGGTTAATTCGATGATACCGGCAATGGTGGCAGTAGTTGCTCGAACGCTCGCACTGAACTAGAACTACAACCCACAACCGAAGGTAGCACTGAATGAGAGAATTGAGTGAGAGACGTTGGATGCCATAAATACTAGGGGAATAGTACTTTGGAACAAGGGATTGTGGGATTGCAAATAAGCCAACAGCCATTGAGCTGGTTGATTCTTTTAGTCAAAATAAAATCAAATCAATTTATTTATCACAAAAAAACACAGTACAGAGGTTGAATATCAGCAATGAATATGTGACATTTCAGTACAAATCATGCATTATAAATAGTTTACACATAATAAATATATACAAATATTAAGATTACAGTTGACAGGATAAAAATGAATTCATATCATAAGGACAAAGTGCAATAAGTTTTTCTGAAATTTTCTTTTTAAAATTATTAAAGCTCAAAGACTGGTCTGTGAAATAAAAGGACAATTTGTTTTAGACTTGTATGCATTGATAATAGGGCCCATTGTGAAACAAGATCGGTTTGCTGATTCCATTTACTTATCAGACTTGGATACGATAAATAACTGAGAGCGCACGACAATTTTGTGCCGGCATTAACTACGCCGGTTGTCTGATTCAGAATTTAAGTGTGGGTAGTTACATTTAAGACTGCTAATATTGCTAAGAGCTTTAAGGGTTTAATCATTCAATGTTTTATGTTTGTGGGCTAATGACCTAAATTTGGTCTGTTTTTGGTAAAAAATAATACGATTATGTGCTCGTACAGCGCAACAGAAAATGGTGGAATACCGTGCTCTTTGTACTGCTCGTACAGCGCAGTCTAATTGGAACGCCCGTCTGTCCACCTGTTCTGTACTTCAATAAACTAGTGGTGCGGGCTTTGGGCTTTCTCATAGTTTATGAATGGCCTTATAGTCCTGATTACCCCAGCACGAAAATCGTAGTTTGAGGATCCAGTTGTACGCTTGTTGTTCAAGGCCGCCTGAGTGAGTCAATAATACAGATCGCAATGTTCAACATTCTTCTGCATTTTAGCGAATTTCCCTATAGGGAAGTAGCTATTACCGTAGGTCTCATGGTAAGACTTAGGCCCGGGACCGATTTACTTTTTCATTTTAATGTCCCCAGAGGCCAAAAACACCATTCGTTCAAATTTTTATATATGTATATATATATATATATATATATAGATTTATATATATATATATGTGTCCGTGAACACGATAACTTGAGTAATTTTTATCCTATTTTGATGAAATTTGGTTTGAAGGTGTAAGGCGGGATAAACTTGAATGAGTTCGCGATCCAACATGATCGGACCATGGGAACAGGGTTTTATGGGGGGTTTTATGGGGTAAAAATTGGTTTTTCTCACTTTTTACCCTCAAAACACAAAATTTCCCAATTTTTCTCTAAACCTTCTTAAAGAGCTTAAAAAAACAAACAATTCAGTATATCAAAGTGTTTTTTTACGGTTATTGGTTACGGAGAAAACCAAAAAAAATGGTAAATTTAAAATTCCCATGTTATTCTTATGGAGAATATTGTAAAATGTTGTAGTTTGCTTGTTTATGGATATATTTTGATCAAACTTGGCAAATTTATTTATTTTATAGTAAGCTATCAATATTTTACTAAAAACACACTACTTTATTAGTTTCCTTGTAGCAGCAAACCTAGGTACTCGTTAAACCTAATGTTATTTAAATAGATCAATTGAAAATCAATTCGGCCAAATGGAAATTCGCTTAGACGGCAGGTTTGCTGCGGCGGGGGTATTTATCTTTGGAAGGGTTAACACTACCTTTTGAAGGGTCTTGATGTTAAATTCGCCTAGTATGCTGTGCTGGAGTTGTGGAGACCACTTGGATATCACTTAATTGGTTCAGCTTAATTCACAAACCAGTTCTAATAATAATCAAAGCAGCCTTTTTTATACATATTTTTCTCATTTTCAATATGCATACTATTCTTATAATGGTTTACAATACCTGCATATAGTAATCCTTGGTTGCTGTTTTTGCAACTAGTTTAGGTTCTTCTGAACCATCAATAGGCCTCAAGGTTTCAGATAATCACTTAATTCGAAGGTCGTTAACAGAGTTCAATAAATAAAACAATTACAACACAATAACATATAACGGACACACGTTTACAAAAAACATAGGGACAAAACAGCAACAACGGAGTACTATATTAAGGTATTGTAAACCATTATAGTATATTACAGTAATCCGGAGGCTTAAAAACTCTTTGAAAATAAATACTATACTAGGCTACAATAAAATATGTACAAAAACAGAAACCATAAAAAAAACATTGAGCTACATATAGGCCTACAAACAGAAAAAAATTATAGTCATAAATAACTGTTTCCTACAACTTCACAGCCTATATGTAACAACGGGTGAAACCACACTGAGTGAAACTTCAACTCAACTAAATAACGAATGTTTGTACTGGCAATCCCTGGACTGTGGACCTTGTAAAGAAGCTGTAATTCCAAATGACTGAAGGTGCACCGATCCCTTTGGCACCCTTCTGAAGGTATTCGGGGTTGGGATGATATCCGTACTTGAAAATATGTACTGTAAGACTTCAGCAATTCCAAATTGCCGCAGGTTAATCAGAGTAACTAGGGGTTCCATTTGGACGGGTGAGTGATCTTTCTGGAAATAGACCCTAAGAGAGCTGCGCTGTACGAGCAGGCGCTGATGGAAAAGCACGACACCAATAATAACTTTATAAAAATAAAAAAAACCTAATATTTAAAAATCTAGTTACATAAACTTTTTTCACAACTAAACAGTAAACATATAATATATTAGAATGAATGCCTACCTTATGAACAAACTGATTGAAAGAGTATCTGCTACTTATTGCAATGTTTTTGTTTGAGTGCCTTTTTACAGTTTATAATTGTTGGTTGGTTTTGAAAGACTTATTGTGTTTATTAATACAAATTATATTAGTCATTAGATTGTAGGTTTTAAGTATAGTAACTCACTTAAATGACATATACAAAATGCCTAGTTACATAATAGAGCTCACATTTATACAATTGTTGTACTACTATTATATACTTAATTAAGTCTTAAGAAATCAGTTTTTCCATGGGTGTCTAGTACTTATTTTATGATTATTATATTATAGCTATCTTTTATAAATTTTTAGTCTAATTTTATTAATGCTTTTAGATAATTTTGTTTTGAACTAAATCATTTATAACATTTGAAATGTATTCATGACAATAGCTGCAGTTTTGCATAAAAAAAAGAACAAAAGACTTCATGAGGTGCCTAAAAATAATATTTTGTATTGTGATAATGTTTTTAAGATGATAGAATAAAATTAAATGCCTTAATACTTCAAGGGATTGCCTTGAACATACTTTTTATTGTGATAACATCTTTAAGAATAAAAAATGTACACTTGCTATTAAAATAAACAGTATCAGCAATCAACTGATGGGACATACTTTCTCCCATTAGCTTGTCAACAACCTTTTTCATGGGTATGTGTTGAAAAGGGATCACATCATTTGTCCGAGTTTTCAACTGTCCGAGTAGGGGCAACATCAAAATGTGACACTGTGCGCCGAGACTAGCGTGTCTAAAGCGCCTGTTCAGAAGTCGATGTGAACCCCTTCTGTGAAGGAGTCTGGCATTGTGCGAGCCGCGAGAGCCCCTCACGTCGAATTAAGAAAAATTATTTTATTTTTATATAAGACTAATTTTACAATTATTAATTATAAAATTAAACTCTCATCACCTAACACAACCAACCAAACTTGCTGATAATACCCCCGCCATTATAATATTATCAGCAAGTTTGTTGGTTGTGTTTGGTGATGAAAGTTTAATTTTATAATTAAAAACTGTAAAATTAGTCTTATAATAAAAATAATATAATTTTTCTTAAGTCGACGTGAGGGCCTCTCGCGGCTCGCACAATGCCTGACTCCTTCACTGAGGGGTTCACATCGACTTCTGAACAGGCGCTTTAGACACGCTAGTCTCAGCGCGCAGTGTCACATTTTGATGTTGCCCCTACTCGGACAGTTGAAAACTCGGACAAATGATATTTTGATATTTTTTAAAATAATTTAAAAACTCAGACAAATGAAAACTCGGACAGTTGATTTAACGAAATATTATTATTATTTAACCATACTCGGACAGTTGAAAACTCGGACACTTGATATTTCGATATTTTTTAAAATAATTTAATTAACTCGGACAAATGAAAACTCGGACAGTTGAAAACTCGGACAAATGAACCTCACCCGTTGAGAGTAAATATGGTAGATTATTGGGCAAATCACAAAAGTGTCTTCAACCCTCACTCATTTTCCATCCTTGTTGTCACCCAGTGGCAGTTCTAGGTCATTGTCAAGGGGAGGGCTTGGGGTGAGCACCCCCTAATAAAGCAGGGGGGGGGTCCGGGGGAATTTTGGAATTTTCAAAGCCGATTGGTGACTTTTTAAAGCCATTTTAACACCTAAAACCGTGCCCAATTGTCCATAAACTCCCATATCACCTGTTGTTTGTCATGAGCAAATAGACATTTAAAAAATTA